CAGCGCGGTCCCGGCGGGGCTCACCCATGAGGAAATCGAGGATTGCCATGTCGATGAGGTCGAGCAGGCGATGGCCCCTGTCGTAGGGCGGCGTCTCTCGCACCTGAGCGCAGTAGTTGGGGTTCAGCTCCCACCTGCGGGCAGAGGCCGGGACGGGGGACATGAGAGCGGCCGTGGGGCAGCCCCCTCCCATCTGCGCCAGGAGCGGCGCTTGGCCAAGGTCTTGTCGGGCAGCAGGGCGGCCATGGAGCCCTCCAGCCGGTCCGGCTTGCCGCAGAGGGCGTGCTCGGTGGAGCAGTAGTAGGAGCATTCCCCGTAGAAGCAGACGTTGCCCGCTGGCCGTGGGGACAAAGCAAAGGTTGGCGAAGAGCGGGAAGGCGATGAGCCCGCTACCCCCACGCAGGGCGGTCCAGCAGGCGGCCGGGTGAGGATGCTCCATGCACCGTGGCCACGTGCCCACAGCAAAGTGGTGGCAAGGAAGGCCTTGAGGAGCAGAGCTCCGTGGCAGGGGACACGGCGGGGGGGGGGGGCGTCCCCAAAGGGACGGTTTGCCCCGGTGCAGGGGGAGCCAGGGCAGGAGCAGCCAGGCGAGCTCCATGCTGGTGGCCACAGAAGAAGATGGACGGCATGAAAGCTCACCTGGGGAGATGAAGAAAGTCTTGGCCAGCTTCTTGTCCGTGGTGATGTCACGGATCTCCTTCGTTATATTGACCAAACGGCCAGAAACCGGGGGGATTCGCCGGAAATCCAGGATCCTGAAACACGGAACTTGGAACCGTTTCTTGCTGACCCTGGCTTGTTTTCACAGCAAGTTATTAAAACTGCCGTGAGATGCAGGTATCCCTCACAACAGGGAGGAAGAGGTGGGATGAGATGCAGGTATCCCTCGCAACAGGGAGGAAGAGGTGGGACGAAGGAGCAGTTTCTCTGTCGCTTCGCTGTCACAAGAGGGCTGAGTCAGATGCGGAGCTTGCGCTCACCTGTCCAGGTGGAAGGCTGCAATCTCTGCGTTGTGCCGCTCAAAGTCCGAGAAGTAGAAGAAGTCGACGGGGGTCTCCTGGTCCCGGGTCTGCCTGGGAGGAGAAGGGAGGGTGGGGGCAATGGCCGCACATGAGGTGACCCCCAGTGTGGGCTTGGCCCCAAACCAGCCCTTGCCTTGTGTCCCCGGTGCCACCACAGATGCGGCCAGACCCAGCCTCCTCCAGTTGCTCCCTGCTGGGTGATGCAGCCCCAAATCCCCCAACGAAGGGCTGGGAAGCCCTCATGGTCTGGGTGGTCCCGGATGCTCCTCACGGACCATCTTCTTCTTTCCACCACTGAAGGTCACTACCCCATCACAAGCTGCGCCCAGCCTGCCGCAAGCACCACCGGGGAAGGCGAGAGCAAAGGGGACCACCCCGCTCACCCCAGTTTTGGGGTGGGGGTTGGGGGGCCCAAGAGGGGCAGCGCACGAAGCATTTCTCCATTTCTCCCTCCGCGGTCTTCTCCAGCCACCTAACAGGACCGTGGTGGTGGGGTATGGGGTTGTCCCCAGCTCTACTCACTTCATGGGCTTGAAGAGGGCCTGCCCATAGTTCGGGAACGTCATGATGAGCTTGAGCTGGGTGCCTCCAGACTTCTGGACTGAAAAGTGACGCGCGGGGATGAGGGAGGTGGGCAGCAGGCAGTGGGGCAGGGGTGCGGGGCAGGGGTGCTGGCAGGGAGGTGGTACCTGAGCTGACGATCCGTGGAATTTGAGCCAGGCGGGGTAGGTGTCGTAGGCTGTCTTCCCTGTCGGGAGGAGCGCCTCGGCTTTACTGCTGCTGACCCTGCAGCCCAACAGCCACCGCCACCCCAACAACAACGACAGCGTTTAGTTGGGACGGGACAGGTCCCACGTCTCCAGGCCCTTCCCGGGAGCCGGCGCATGGAGAGTGAGGCCCAGCACAAGCCCTGGATGGTGGAGAAACCCCTCACCCCGTGCACCCTCCTTGGAGCTCCTGGCACCTGGGCCGATCTCACCCATGGCTGGTGCCCCAGGGAGACCCACTGGCATGGCTGAAGCAGGCTCGGTGGCTTCCCTCGCATCCCCCACGAGAAAGCCCTGGGCTGGCCCTGCTCCTCTCATCTGCACCTTTATTTCCCTGCTGGAGCAGCTCATCTTGTCGTATTTCCCCCAGGGATTAGCTCCCGGGGATACAACCAGCTACGCACACCTGCGTGCGCACCAGGGACACACATGTCGTTCACCAACACAGGGCGGAGGAGCAGGGACTTCCCCCCCATCCCCAGCACCAACCTGAACTCCCGCCCTCAATGTCCAGTTCCCCTGGGATGGGTTTATCTCACACCCCTGATTTCCCCTGGGGCTGAGTTTGGGTTAGTGCTACCCCTGCCTCTGGGCCTTTCGCAAATTTGCGGTGTGCTGGCTTTCATGGGCGGGCTCTTGGGGGTATCTGCCACCGCTCTGCGCCCACCGGCACTGCAATGGGACAGTCGGCCCAGGGCATCGGTAATCCAAAGCCACGTCTCTCTCTAGGAAAACGCAAACTGTGCCCCAGTTTCAACCAGCCAGACCCACCTCCCGTGGTTATCCTTGGGCAAGGTGGACCTCAGAGACAAGACAAATGGCCGGTTGTGGAAGCCAGCTCTTAAGCCAGCTTCTACTCTCTCCCAATTTTAGCAACCACCACGTTTGGAAGGTGTGCTTTCCGTAAGGAAGCTGCTACGTGTTATTGACGCTAAAGCTTTTAATGTCTTCCCTCCTAATTAGAGGTTAGTAGTCCAGTGATAAAAATAGGCAGCCGGCAGCGGTGAGCTCACCACACAGCCGAGCCTAAGGAGGTCAGGCGGTGTCCTGCGAAATGCGGGACGGGAACGGTCTCACGGTTAGAGGTAACCTACATTGTGGGCTTTGTGTCCCCAATGTGTTGGGACAGGGGGATGAAACTGGTTAGGAATCTGCAGTGGGGACTTCCTCATGTATAGAGAGAGGGAGACCACAGCTAGAGTCTGCACTGGGGAAGGAAAGGAGATGAGCTAAAAGATATCCTACATAATACTGTGAATAATTCAAGTGTCTGCTTTGGCTTTGCCGTGTGCTACAGGCTCCCAGGCAGCAGCCCAGAAATTCAGGGCTAAGAGAGGATTTGAGGTGCAAGAAGAGCTCGCTCAGCATCCGAGGCCCTTCTGGGGCAGGGATGCTGATCTACGGAAGGAAACACCACCTTTGGTCCCTGCCGCCCGTCCCCTCAAACTCACGTATCCCCCAAAAGCAAGCCAGGGCTGAGCTCACTCCTCACCATTCGTCACTCCCACTGCTGTGCAGGCTGAACTTCTCCATGGGGTTGACCACAAACAACTTGTCTTTCTCCGTCACCTCCAGGATTGGGATGTTGTAAAGAGGATGCTCGAAGAGCGCCGCCAGCTTTGATCCTTTGGTCCGCCCCGGATCGCTGTCTCCGTGCCGGCGCTGGACCCCCATCTCTCCAGCCCTTGCCTGCAGCCCCGCTCCCGGCGGCTGGGAGCTTTTCTCCAAGG